GGGACAGTGCCTATTTTAGATATGAAGTTCAGGAACACTTCTCTGAGGTGACATTTAAGTTGACACAAGAAGGATAATGGGGGGAAGCAAACTCCAGGCCAAGCTCCTGAAAGGAGAATAACTTGGATCCTGAAAGGAACTAAAAGAAAGCTAACATGATTACAGTTCTAGTGATATGCAACTATAACAGTTAGTACAAGCCAGGCTCAGTGACATACACCTGCAATCCCAGCTACTCAAGAGGCTGAGGCAAGAAGATTGTTGAGCCCAGGAGTTCGAGGCCAGACTGGGCAACACAGCAAGACACTGTCTCAAAAATAAATAACATTAGARGGTGAACAATCAGCTGGGTCTTGTGACATAGGTAATGCTTGTTCAGCTGTGAGAATCAAAACTTCCTACTATACAATATATTTAACTCTTTGTTCAGACAAAGGCACAAACAGGCCACATTAGCCCTGATACTTCATTTAGAAGCTCCTTTGCCTGCAGCTACCATATACTCTACTGTCTTTTCACCATCCCTTATGAAGAAGGTTGTAGCTAATAACCTAGGGCCAAATTAGGAATCAAAAGCAAGCCTCAATCTAGGGCCTTCATCAAAGGGCAGTGAGTTATCTTAGTGAAGTAGGGGAAGGCAAGCGCTGAGGCTCGGGGCTAAGAGCTGGTGATCAGACCACACTAGAAAGCATTGGGTCAGCCTCATTTTTTTCTCCCATAAAGAGAATGTTCACAGCATGACAGGCATTGACTGTCAAAGGAAGTCTAAAAAGAATAATGACATTATTAGATATTTTTAGCCTTTCTTTTCATAAATGTTTTATGTCACTGCTTTCCAAATAATTCCAAATATTGCAAGTCAGCCGGAAGAAGAAACAGAATAAGGAGTGTATTGGTCATACATGAAATTATAAAAGATTGGGAAATAATTTTCTTTTGAAATCCAGTTAAAGCAATATGCTTTTGTGAGTCCTGCTCATACAAACACAAAATTCCAATGGATTAAGACTATGTAAGAACAGATCAGACGTGCAGACAAAATGTGCAAATCACTTTGCACAAGGCAAAATGGCTGGTAGGAATGTTTATATCCAGTAGCCCAGGGATTAAACATTAGTATAGCCAGGCAAGCGTGGCAGCACAAAACTCAGGAGGCTGAGGCAGGAGGACTACAAATTGGTAGCCAGYCTCAGCAACTTAGTGAGACCCTATCTCAAAATAAAAAGGGCCGGGGATTAGGCTCAGTGGCAGAGCACTCCTGGGTTCAAACACATACACAACACACATACACACACACACACACACACACACACACAAAAGAAATAGAACCAAAACACCTTTGATGCTGTAAACTACTGTTCTTTTGCCCCAATGAGTTACCTTCAAAACTTCCAGTGGAAACATTAATGGGAGGAGAGTGCAACTCATTATTGTTGATTCTCACAATAAGACATGGCCAAATAAAGACCCACAAAACTACTGAAACAATAATAAGAAGAAAACCCAAAGAGCGAATTTAAGGCTTGTTATGAACCACAGGTTTGACTTATTCAAAAATTCCTCAGTATTGCTTTTTACAATTTTCATAAGAGAATTCAAGTTTCTCACTATGTCTGCACTATTCTACTTGTAAAGCAACAACAGCATCCCATTTTCTTACTCCTATTCACTACCAAAGGCTCAAGAAGAAAGGTGAACACCTCAGCCAAGAAGTAAGACACGTTTCAACAGTTTATCTTAATAGTTTTGGGCCACCTCTGAATGTGTCCTGTTTTTTTAAAGGTAGTTTGATTTTGTCACAAAACCAGAAAAGGCAAATCATAAACTACAGAATCATCAACATTTTGGGATCTGCTTAAAACTATGATTAGGTAGATTCCTAGAAATTAAGTGAATCTACAAACATGAATTATAAACACTGTTATGACAATATGTACACGACAAAGCTGAATTTTAAAAACACTCCTAATTTATATACATCCATATATGCAAAGGGAAAATTTAATTTAAATTTTTTGTGCCACAMAGTAACAAAAAGAAAAGTGAAATTTGAGTTAGAAAACCCAAATTCCAGTCTTCTAAGTATGGACCCTTAGACAATCTCACACTAATACTTCCTCTTGCCCCTCCCCACTGCCCTTCAGGTATTAGGGATTGAATCCAGGGACCTGTTACCAAGAGTTACATCCCCTATTCCTTCTTATTTTTGATTTTGAGACAAGGTCTTGCTAAGTTGCGCAGGCTGGCCTTGAACTTGCAATCCTCTTGCCTCAGCCTCAAGGAGCTGGGATTACAGGTGTACACCACCTAACTCTGTACAATAACTTCTCTTTCATTAGGTTAATGCTTCAAAGGGTTATTGGGAGAATCATAAGATTGAGTACATTTGAAAATGATAAAGATCCAATTATTATTATCAAGTCAGGAAACCTTTCATTCATTCAACTAGTATTCATTGAACAACTACTTTACGTCAGGTACTGGTTCAGGTCCTGAGGATACAGCTATAATACATGACATTGGAAATGCCACAAAAAGGCATTTTCTTTATATCCTTCAGACAGATTTTTAACCCTTGTTTCCCTCTTTTTTATTTTATTTTCTAAGAGAACAGGATACAAAAGAAAATGAGGGGAAAAAAATGATGGCATGTTCATTGTCTTTAAGGATTTTGTCCTTGTTGGAAATGGAAAGAAGTTGGGTTACAGTCCCTCTCTTGGCAAAAGAAAGAAATTTCGCATTACCCTCACCCCTTCCTCCTGACCATGCATTCACCACAGATATCTTGCATTTTCCAGATATTTTCAATTTTGGAAACCAAATTTTCCAGCTTTTCCACTAGATGGTCAACAGCTAAAAAATAATCACTACTCTTAATAATAGAAATACTTATTTTTATAATCATAAGTTAATAAAGTGATGATTTATCTGACCTTAAAAAAAAATGTTCCACAAGAGTGCGTTATTTCACTTCTTTATTTACAAAATTAGCAGTAACTTGAAACACAGTACCTTCCTTAAGTAAAACAAAATGCCCACTAAAATTCAATTTAGGACCCTTTATCTCCCTGGCAAATAACTCCTCTTACAACGCAGCACCTTACATGCATTATGCTATAAGGGAAAATGTACAGGCAATAGAGTTTCAGAATATACATATGAGACTTTTCAAGGCAGGAACTAAGCCTTACTGTTCTGATTCAACACAATCCTTCAAAACACTATTAATGTTAGGTTAATTCTAGATGCTCAATAAATAATATTACATGAGCATAATATWCATTCTAGGTGACTATTACATAAATTAATGCATTAAACATAAAACCACTATATGGACATAAAGCTAGACAGAAATGCTCCTTACTTGTTAAAGCACCAAAGAATTCTCAAACAATTCCAATCTGGAGATTCTGTCCCTTGTAAAGGAGAATGTCACACACGTGGAGAATCCAAGAGCTGACTAGTTTTCTGGAGATTACTAGCCACCTCTGGAATAGATTTCAAACTAGCACAACAAGCAGTTTCCATGTGTCAAATGGCAACAACAACGTAAGTGAAGAAGATAAAGTGGAAGAAGGTAAAGAAAGGATAGGCCAAGAAAAGAAAGAGAAAAGCAAGGTTAAAAAAAGAAAAAGAAAAATCCATTTCTCATAAGTGATGAAGGGTAACTTCTGACTTCCAAACTCAGGCAGTTAGCACACTCTCTACTGAAAATAAGAGATCTCCCTGGTAAGGAGTGCGGCCTTAAGCCTGTGAAACAATAAAGACCCGAACTATCACCRAGCACTTCATTCACCATTAACCCGATTAATCGCTGTTAACTGAATAAGGGCACTTGACTCCACTCTGGCCCTTCATCGTCCACTCCCCCTTCTTCTGGTTTGGTTAAGAGGCTGAAAAGACTAGAACTTACGAATCTCGTTAAGAAACTTGACCTTAGAAAGGGGTTCAATAAATTTAAAAGAGAACCTGGCAAGGACACTTTGATCAAATTCCCTCCCTGCCACCCCCATCACCTCAAAAAAAAAAAAAAAACACCCATCACCCAGTTCCTGAACGATTTCTCTTGCTTCTAGTCTTTAGGACTGCCTGAAAGAAAGGTCCGAAGCGCGCCTGTTGTTTTTGAAAAGCAACAAGTTTGTTCCATTACAGCCTTCTCTAATCTGATGTGAGCGTGGCCGGGTTGGCCCGGCTCCCAGGGGCAGCAGGCCGCGGGTTCAAGCGCCCTGTCTGGAAAGCCTCCCTAAAAAACAGTCACGATCGGCAAAACTGGCACAAGTTCCCTTCCCATCTTTTCCCAAGCCATGCTTCCCACGGCATGCTTCCTCCAAAAAAGGAAGAAACCGGCCTAAAGCTCAGCTCTCGCCGGCTAGTTTCTATCTAGCACCGGAGCTTGCTTGCAAAACTTATTCTGAGCACCCATAAACTTGACCTTAAGTCCTGCAAGTCCTGTAACCCAGATTTAGTGAGCGCCTACTATGGTCGGGTCCGCTCGGCTCCCCTCCCCCACCAGTGCTCCCGAAGCGGGGCGGGGGCGGGGGACAGGTCACCGCCGTCACTCAAGGCTATTACACACTCCCCCAAGCCACGCCGGGGCCACGGGTCACAGGGCGTACTAACAAGGAGGGACGGCTCGGGGACCCGATGGCTGACCCGGCAGGGACGCGAAGGGGAGACGCCGGGAGTGAACCTCCAGGTTCTCAAAACTGCTCCCCCACASCCGGCGGCCCCCAGGCGGGGCCGCAGAGGCCATCTGGCGCGGAAGGCAGGATCGGGCCCTTCGCCTCCCCGCCCTTCCTCCTGCTTCCCTAGCCCAGGGCACCCCACGCCAACAGGCAGAGGTTCAAGGCAAGTTCCCGGGACCGAAAAAAGGCAGAAGCCACTCTTCGGCCTCCTGCTCCTCCCCGGCAAGCATCCCCGCAGAGACACGCGGAGTTGGGGTCCCGCCACGCCGGGGCGGAGAGAAAACAGCAGCAGCGCCCGCCGCGCACTCCACTCACTTGCTGGCCGGCGCGGGGCTTGCCCTGGGGCGCTCTCCTGAAGAAGGAGGTCCTGGCGGTGAAGAAGAAGTCCTCGGCGTCCTCCTCCAGGCTGCTGTAGCCGCTGCTCATGCTGCTGGTCCCGTCGCGCACCGGCGGCCTCCCCGGGGCGCAGGCGGCCAGGCAGGGGGTGCGGCGCCCGCCCGCCCCGCGAGGTTCCCGGCGCGCGGCCCCAAGCCGCCGGCGGGCCGTACTGCTGCAGCTGCGGCCGCCGTTCAACCGGCCGTCTGGGCCCCTCCCGCCTGCTCCAGGCGCCGCCTGGCCCCGGTGCGCCGGAGACCCCGCCTCCCGGGCCCCGCCCCGGCCGGCCTGCTGCGGCCGAGCCCCTCCTCGCGAGCCCGGACKCACCCCGCGGCCGCAGGTGGGGGCGAGGAGCACGCCCCTTCCAGGCGCGCCCTGCAGCTTCACGGAACCCAGAAAGCCGGGCTCGAGGGCTGCTTCGGCCGGGCTGTGTTGGGGGTCGCTTCCCCAACCTCCCGGAAATTGCAAATTCCTCTGTGATCAGTCCGCCCGCCCCCCGCTACGCTAGCTGGAGCTCTGGAGAGGGCGGGAGCCCAGCGGAGAACTTTTTCCGCCCGGCTTACCCCTTCGCGGGGTCCTGAGAGCGGCTGCGGAGGGTGCCCCAGAGCGCCGGCCTCCTGCAGCCCGCCGCTCCTGGAGGGTTAAAAGTTAGCAGAGATGGGTGGGAAGATAACWGCTGGGTTGAGGTTATTCGAAGGAAAACATCCTTTCTGGTCTTTAATTTGAACTTCGATCTTACCCTCCCCCCACCCCCAGCGAAGGCTCTTTCACAAGTGAAGGTGGCCAGATCGTTATGATTTTAGAAGCCATTTGGTGTAGAGGAAGATGAATAGTTCCATAGTTACAAAACAATCGAGTAATAATTAAATGTACTTTGTGAATACCCACTTCCACAACCAGCCTAGGTCACAAGGCAGGGTGAAATAGCGAAGGTAAGGCAAACAGGGAACTTTACACCCACATGCAAAAAATTTAAAATAAATTTAAAATTTTCATTTTCCTAAGATCCCTCCAGTCAATTTTTTTATTCAAGCCATCTGAGAGTACCCATCTTTTGCACCTTGCTGTTACAGGATTGATTTAAATCATAGTAATTTGCTTGCAGAGACTTTGACTGCAAGGAAGTTGTTTTGAAGCTTCAACCCTGCTATGGTACGCTGGCTTCAGCAGAGGTTTTCTTAAAAGGGGAAGAAAAGGATTTAGAAAGATGAAGTTTTCACCCGTTGTAACTAAACATTCTTGCATGATCTCCCCTAATCTTCAAAACAACTGAAAATTGGTTAGAACTATTTTATGCCAGTTTTACACCTACAGCAGCAGTTGTACAGGAGGTAGCAAGGCTGGGAYCATTCTGCTGTGGCTTCTACTGCTTCGAAGGCTTTAACATAACCCTTATGATTTTTGCGCTTGGTCCGTGGTCWGCCATGCTCTTTTGTGATCTGGTGAGAGAGAGATGACCAGAAGGGGAGAAGCATTGGATCATCCTTCTACCCCAGGCAGATATGGGCTTGCAAACCTGCTCTGCCTTCCTTGAGGCTTACTCACACCTCCAGCTTGCAAAACACTCCTGTTGCTCCAAGTGATTCACAACTCCAGAAGGAACAGCCCATTTTATAGGTCTTGCATTAAAGGCTTTTTCCCAGCCACGCAGCTACTGAGTGAAACTCAGCTTGTTCCTATGTGTGCCATGCACATTAACCCATTATAAGGGAATAGGACAATTTATGAAAGATTTTTTCTTACTTGACTTCATTAYTTCATTTTTCAAATATGTCACATCAACACAGTCCTTCTTAAATACTCCAATTTAAGAGTATAATGTGTAGGTTAAAGAAGTTAAATAACTTGTCTTATTGAAGATACAAAGGGGGAAATAATCTTATCCAGAACAAATTATTTAAAGTCTCTGAATACTTTGAAGAAAAATTCATTTAAAATGCTTTATGATCCACCACATCACAAACACGATTTCTTGATGCTACTTTTAAGCTCCAAAGGACTGAATTAATTTTTATATTTGTCAGCATCCCATTAGAACCAGCTTTAATAAAAAGGTCTGATTGGGGGCAGGGAATGAAACTCAGTGGTACAGCTCCTGACAGCATGAGGCCCTGAGTTGGATGGTGAGGTATGACTGAATAAGCAGAAGCACTGCATTTAAGCAACAGAAGGTAAAAAAAATAAAGAAGGAAGGAAGGAAGAATTGGCATGCTGTTTCCTAAGTGGAGCATAATAATATTTCTAAATTTCTCTGATAGAATTTTTAAATAAAATTATGAGTTTAAAATTTGGCTTGTGAGGGGCTGGGGTTATGGCTCAGCAGTAGCGCACTCGCCTTGCATGTGTGAGGCCCTGGGTTTGATCCTCAGCACCACATAAAAATAAATAAAATAAATGTGTATATATATATATATATATATATATATATATATATATATATAAAAAGAATATACTCTTTAAAAATTTTTGGCTTATGAAAATGATATTTGTAAAAATTCAAAATGTCATACGAAGCAACCAGACATTTTTAACATTTAAAGTTGAGGGAAGGGGTGGAATAAATAAAATGTATGCAGTCAAGTCAGTTTTGAAAGGACTTATTGTCAGACACAGAATTGAATTTGAAAATGGACTCTATCACCATTAATTTCCCAGCAATACAAGAGTCTATTGATTTAGATTTATAGCCTCGTAATCTTTTATTTCTATGATAAATCAGGGAATATATTTAAAGCTGACTGAATGTATACAAACATTATAAACACAAATGTTTTTTTCATTTTAATTATCCCACACATCAAATAATTTCCTTTAAATTATTGTAAAAGGGAAGACTTACTAAAAGTTTTGTTGGTGGTGGTGGTGTTTTGGTGAGGGGGGCATGCTGACAATCAAAAGCAGAGCCTAGCACAGGTTAGGCAAGCATAGGACCACTGAGCGAAAAGTTTTGACCCTTCTTTCTCACCAGTTAAACCATCATGAGAAAAAAAATAATTCTATACATATGGTTATCAACCAAAAAGCTTCAATCACATTCAGATTCCTTAAGTATTATATAAGTCCACAAGGGGCTGGGGTTGTAGCTCAGTGGTAGAATGCTTGTTTAGCATGTGTGAGGCACTGGGTTCAATCCTCAGCATCACATAAAAATAAATAAAACAAAGGTATTGTGTCCATCTACAATTTTAAACAAATTTTTAAAGGAACACAAGTGATAAATATAGAAAAAAATTAATAACACCTCATCATTTAGCTACACATATTTAGAAGTAAAATTTTTCTTCTGTTAATTTGTCCTAATAAAGATAGTACAACATCACAAAGGAAAGGATTTTTATATTCTACGATGTAAAAAAAGTCAAATATTACAGCTGGGTGCAGTGACACATACCTATAATCCCAGTGGCTTAGGAGGCTGAGGCAAGAGAATCGCAAGCTCAAAGCCAGCCTTGCAAAAGCAAGGCTCTAAGCAACTCAGTGAAACCCTGTCTGTAAATAAAATACAAAATAGGGCTGGGGATGTGGCTCAGTGGTTGAGAGCCCAAGTTCAGTCCCTGATACCCTCCCCAAAATTAAATATTGTTAACACACACAGATACAAAAAAAAATTAAATATTGTTAACATACACATGCATACAATATTAAGAAGTAAGGAAAAAACTGGAGGAAGTGTTTGTAACATAAAAAACAGGTGTGATATATTTTTAAAAATAAAGAACTTATGGCTGGGGTTGTAGTTTAGTGGTAGAGCACTTGCCTAGCATGTGTGAGGCACTAGGTTTGATTCTCCGCACCACATACAAATAAGTAAATGTGTATTGACAACTAAAAAAATTATAAATAAAGAACTTAGATAACACAGTAAAAATGTTGAACATCTTTAATTAATAAAACAAAGGATAGGACAAGTTGTTGATAAAAAGAAAAAATAGGGCTGGGGTTGTGGCTCAGTGTAGAGCACTTGCCTCACATGTGTGAGACACTGGGTTCCATCCTCAGTATAAAATATATATATTAAAAAAAAGAAAGAAAGAAAAATATAAAGCCCAGTAGTGGTACACATCTATAATCCCAGCTACTTGAAGGCAGAGGTATAAGAATCCTGAGTTTGAAGACAGCTTGAGCAACATAACAAGATCTTATCTCAATTTTTTTAAAAAGTGCATAAATAAATATATATGCACATACATAAACAGCTCATCAATCATTTATATATTAAAACATTCACTCAGGAGCTGGGGATGTAGCTCAGTTGGTAGAGTGTTTGTCTCACATGTACAAGGTCTTGGGTTCAATCCCTAGCACTACCAAAAAAAAAAAAAAAATCTTGTTCTAATGGGGTTGGAGAGAGGCAGGCAAAGTATAACTTTAATAGAAATCATGAAGAAAAGATGAATGTTTTACATAGACTGAACACTAAAGGTCTCACTGAGGAGGTCAGTTCAAGAAAAGAGGAAGGGAGGGAGCTGGTCATTTCCTATTTTTACAAATGCATTTCAGGCAGAGAAAACAGAAAGTATAAAGGTCCTGAGGCAGAAATGCCCTTTGGMATACTCAAAGAAAGGAAGCCAGTGTTTCTTAAGTGGGCAAGTGGAGGGAGTAGTAGCAATTTTTTTTTTTTTTTTTTAGTTGTAGGTGGACACAATACCTTTATTTTATTTATTTATTTTTATGTGGAGCTGAGGATCAAACCTAGGGCCTCACAGATGCTAGGTGAGTGCTCTACTGCTGAGCCACAACTCCAGCCCAGCAGTAGGAATTTTTAAAGGTAACAGGGACAATGCCTTGAAAGTAAACGTATAGACCTTACTTTGGGTTCTTACTCAAAGATAAAAAAATCACGGGAGATTTTGAACAGAGGAATGACAATATTTGACACACTTTTTGTGTGTATGTGCTGAAGCTTGAACTCAAGGCCTCGTACRTGCTAGGCAAGTGCTGTATCGCTGAGCCTTGTCCACAACCACTGATTCACCTTTTATTATATTTATTTACTTACGTGTTTATTTATTGATTGGTACTGGGAATTGAACCCAGGTGTGCTCTAATACTGAGCTACATTCCCTGCCTTGTTTGTTTGAGTCAGGGTCTCCCTAAGTTGTCCAGCCTGGGCTCAGACTTTGTGATCCTCCTGCCT